GGTGGCCGTGGGGATGGGGACAGGGGGTCTGGGAGATGGGGCGGGGTTCCCCCGAGTCCGACTCTGACTCCCCCCTCTCTCTGGCAGAAGAAGCGGAAGCAGCAGGGGGTACCTGGCATGGGGCAGCAGGGGCCTGAGCCCCAGACCTCCGATGACAAGGTGAGACCCTCCCCCGACTAGCCCCCATCATCTCCTCCTTATCCCCCACTAGTGCCTCTCCCCCCCCCCGATTCCCCGCCCATCTCCCCCACACACGTGTGGATGGTTGAATTCTGGCCCGGCCCCTTTAAATTGTGACGGTAGGCGGGGCTTCTTCGGCGAGTGGGCGTGGTCAGCCTGCTGGCAGGGCTGCGGAGTTTCTCTGTGGTTGGCTGTGCCATGGCAGGGGGCGTGTCCGGAAGAACGGGGCGTAGTGATTGGCTGCAGGGAGAAGGGCCCTATACATAGGGGAGGGGGAGGTCCTCACCCCGTTCTGTGATTGGCTGAGGAATGGAGGGGGGGCATCTCCTCGACAGCTGATTGGCTGAACAGACAGAAGTGGTGTCACAGTGGGACACACCCCTTCCGACCCTTCTAGGGACCCTCCCCCCTTAGGGTACCTTTGATCAGCCCCCCCATCCCCTCCATGACCCCTTCCCCATCCCCTGCAGGGGGGAGCCCTGGGCTGGGCTGGCAGGGGCTGCGGGTTGGGAGTGAGGGGCACTGGCAGATGGGGGGCAGGGGGATACCCCGGGGCCGGGCTGGCAGGGGCTGCGGGTCAGGAGTGAGGGGCACCGGCAGACGGGGGGCAGGGGGGATACCGCGGGGCCGGGCTGGCAGGGGCTGCAGGTCGGGAGTGAGGGGCACCGGCAGACGGGGGGCAGGGGGATACCCCGGGGCCGGGCTGGCAGGGGCTGCGGGTCGGGAGTGAGGGGCACCGGCAGACGGGGGGCAGGAGGGATACCCCGGGGCTGGGCTGGCAGGGGCTGCGGGTCGGGAGTGAGGGGCACCGGCAGACGGGGGGCAGGGGGGATACAGCGCGGCTCGGCTGTTTCTCTCTTTTCCTGCCCGGAAGCCCCTGGATTGTTTGCTGGTGGCAGGAAGCCGGGTCTATAAATAGTTCCCGGGGCCCATTGTCTGGGTCCAGGCCCCCCCAGTGCTGAGCCGGAGTCGGTGACCCCCTCCCACACTTTCCTCCCCAGGAACCCTGCACCAAACGGGTGAAACCTGTCGCCAAGACCCTGTCGGGCTCGGGGCCCCCGTCGGCCAAGGTGACGCCCCTGAAACGCCTGAGCCAGTCGATCCAGGTACGCGGGGATCCCCCTCATCCCGGCACTACGGGGGCCAGGACACATGGAGCAGGGCTGTGCGCAGCCCCCTGCAGCAGGGAGAGGGGGTTGGATGGGGGGGTCCCCTGAGGATGGGGGTGCAGGGCTGGGTGGGGTGGGGGCCATGGTGTGGAGGGGGCACCTTGGGAGATGGGTGAATGGGACAGGGCCTGTATTCCACTCTCAGCCAATCACTGTCCATCCCGCCCTCGCCCCCACCCCAGAGGTCCATCAGCTTCAAGGCGGAGCCCCGCCCCCCAGGCTACGTCCCGCCCCCCCGGGCCGGGGGCTGCCGGCGCCGCAGCAGCAAACT